TAGAAACATGTTACATGTCACGTAACTAGAAACCTGTTACATGTCACGTAACTAGAAACCTGTTACATGTCACAACACTAGAAACCTGTTACATGTCACGTAACTAGAAAACCTGTTACATGTCACGTAACTAGAAACCTATTACATGTCACGTAACTAGAAACCTGTTACATGTCACATAACTAGAAACCTGTTACATGTCACGTAACTAGAAACCTGTTACATGTCACGTATTTAGAAACCTGTTACATGTCACGTATTTAGAAACTTGTTACATGTCACGTAACTAGAAACCTGTTACATGCCACGTAAGTAGAAACCTGTTACATGCCACGTAAGTAGAAACCTGTTACATGTCACGTACTAGAAAACCTGTTACATGTCACGTAACTAGAAACCTGTTACATGTCACGTAACTAGAAACCTGTTACATGTCACGTAACTAGAAATCTGTTACATGTCACGTAACTAGAAATCTGTTACATGTCACGTAACTAGAAACCTGTTACATGTCACGTAATTAGAAACCTGTTACATGTCACGTAACTAGAAACCTGTTACATGTCACGTACCTAAAAACCTGTTACGCTTGTATGTGTGAAAGTAGCAATACTGAAAGAAAAATTGGTTAATCTATCAATTCTTAATTAGGGACATCTATGCGCAGATAACAATTACGTTGAAACAAATAAAACTGGGGAAAGGTTTTAAAACCCCCCAGAGTCACACATATGACCTATTTTAGAATAACGACGAAAACTTTATACAGCCAAATCCACACGCCAGTATGAAATCCTGGAGAGTTTACCGTAAAAGTTTACCAGTAGGTAAATTTAATAAGCAGATATTAGTTAGGCTTAAAAATATCTGGCTGTAATTGTGAAAGCTGAGAAAAAAATTTATAAGTGTAAAATACTTAAATTAATAATATTTTAAGAATTTTTAATTAAAATACATTAAAATTGTTTAGCATAGATGTGTAGATTTTAAATTCCGAAGATATAAAATGATGATACGTTGGAATGATAATTATACTATACTGTTCATCTTACATTTTAAGTGTCAAATAAGGCTGATGTATTATATATACACCTTTTTTATCGAATAACTTTACAAGGTTATGTACTTTAAACATTTCATGTTTTGTTTTACTCTAGTATCGAGAATTTAAAACGACATTCTACTCAACTTTGACATGGCTGGTGTTTGCAGTATTTATGGTAATCATGCCCATTCTACTGCTAAACATGCTGATAGCCATGATGGGGAACACTTATTGCGAGGTCATCACGCAGTCTCAAAAGGAGTGGGTCAAACAGGTATATATATATATATATATGTATGTGTCTAAATTGAATCTGACATTTTCTCTAGTCTAACAATTCTAGAATATACATGCACATAAAAAATAATATTTGGAACTAACAAGTAACGTGGTCGATATGTATAAGAAGAAAGTTATGAAAAAAGAAATACAACAGAAATAAAAAATCGCAAATATAAAACAGTTTATCGTTCGTTTCAGAAACGTAATAAAACATGTTGACGTTCACTGACTGTATTGAACAATGTTTTTGTTTTCTTATCAGTAAACTAACAGTATAACGTAATTACAAGACTGCAGAACAGAAGTAATCAGGTAAACTTGTGTGGGAAAACAGACTAAACAGCTTAATCCCCTGTTTCATCCCTTTTGTACCATTGAAGTAGCCGACAAACTTCTGCTTGTACCGTTGAAGTAGCCGACAAACTACTGCTTGTACCATTGAAGTAGCCGACAAACTTCTGCTTGTACCATTGAAGTATTGCTGAAACTGGTCGGCTGTTGGTTGGTTCCTCACCGATTGTCATTGTTAGTACTTTTTTCTTTCAATCAAAGGACCGAAATTGTTAATGGAAAGGAGGTGGAACGATGTTCTGATCTAACTTAAACTCTGTTTATAATCCGTTGCAGTGCTGTAATTTTTTATCGATATTCCTTTTTCACTCTATATTTAAATTATCTATCTCTTCATACAATCTTTCTTGTTTCCATCAGTCCCGTTTCAATCCATATCCCCCCATCCACCCCGTTATCCAGTTATGAGCTTAGTTCCAACTATTTTGTATTTTGTAAGCTAAGAAGTTTAACACCAGAATGGCTAGCTCAGTCGGCAACCATATAAGACGAACTCACGGCCTTCATATTGCAAGACTAGCGCCCTAAACACCAAGCCATACCAGGCCCCAATGCATATCTAAACAGCTTAATCTCCAGTCTCTCACACACATCTTCTTGATTCCAACAACTGCTTGTACCATTGAAGTAGCCGACAAACTTCTGCTTAAGTTTGTCGGCTACTTCAATGGTACAGGCAGTAGTTTGTCGGCTACTTCAACGGTACAAGCAGTAGTTTGTCGGCTACTTCAATGGTACAGGCAGTAGTTTGTCGGCTACTTCAATGGTACAGGCAGTAGTTTGTCGGCTACTTCAACGGTACAAGCAGTAGTTTGTCGGCTACTTCAATGGTACAGGCAGTAGTTTGTCGGCTACTTCAACGGTACAAGCAGAAGTTTGTCGGCTGCTGTAATGGTACAAGCAGAAGTTTTTTTAGCATATAGTAACGTAAAAATGAAGGAGATTTTTAATACTTCTAATACATATTTTAGGTTGGTTGCGACTGAAAGGTGAATCAAAAAGAAGTTCCTTCTCCCTCAAAATCCCATTTTAACGACTTTCAAGCCGAGAAGGTTAATATAGTGAGAATATTAAATAAAAGAAGAAAGAGGCAGGTTAATAAAATGTGACAATTAAGATGTGACAAGACAACTTTGGAATATCAAGGGAGTGAGATGATAAGACAGGATAAAAAGATGAAGATGTCAAGAAGATTAAGACAGACTGACAAAAGTTGATATAATGAGAAGATTAAGACAACTTTGGAATATCAAGGGAGTGAGATGATAAGACAGGATAAAAAGATGAAGATGTCAAGAAGATTAAGACAGACTGACAAAAGTTGATATAATGAGAAGATTAAGACAACTTTGGAATATCAAGGGAGTGAGATGATAAGACAGGATAAAAAGATGAAGATGTCAAGAAGATTAAGACAGACTGACAAAAGTTGATATAATGAGAAGATTAAGACGGGCTGAGAAGGTTAAGATAGGCCAAGTGTTTGTTTGTTTTTGAATTTCGCGCATAGCTACACGAGGGCTATCTGCGCTAGCCGTCCCTAATTTAGCAGTGTAAGTCTAGAGGGAAAGAGCTAGTCATCACCACCCACCGCCAACTCTTGGGCTACTCTTTTACCAACGAATAGTGGGATTGACCGTGACATTATAACGCCCTCACGGCTGAAAGGGCGAACGAAAGCGCCCTAACCATGCCTTATGCCAAATGTGTGATGACAGATAAGAGAAAATGAACAAACGAATGGAGATAGTTTCTTTCAGATTATGTTTAATTATTTCAGATAACAAGAAAAGGGTTGTAAGATGAAGACGGGTTAGATAGGTTACAACACGGATAAGAAATGTTGTTAAATAGGTTAGTCAGGAGTTGTAGAAACTGCGAGAAGAAATAACAAACAAAAACCTCACATCAGAAACTAAACATCATAATCAACCTTCAGTTACTTTAAAATTATCATTATTATAAAGTAAAAACTATGTTTGGACATAATTTTCATAATGTATAATAACTATATGCTTAATGATTATTTCTGAAACAGTGGGCTAAAATCGTTGTGGCATTAGAAAAAGGAATAAGTCAGAAGAAGGCCAAAGAGTTTATGCAAAGCTACTCTATTCGTTTTGGTGCGCCCTCTGGTGAAGATGGTTCGGAGAGGGAGCTTCGAGCTGTGATGGTAATTAAAAATAAGCCAAAATCGAAGGCTAGACAAAGGAAAGGCGCCATTTGCAATTGGAAGGTAACTGTAATGATATTCTATTTTTTAGTTTTCCATGTAAAACAACTTATACCTTTATTATAGTTTTAAATGTTTTAAAAATTATCACGTATTATGTTACTTGCAGTTGTAAAGCTCAAATTTCCAATGTGAAATCTTTGTCTTATTATTATATTTGCACAGAGAATGGGTAAGAGTGTCATTCAAGAACTTCGACAGTCTGGAGTTACTGCAGCTAGTCTAAAACAAAGGTTTAACTCTCTACGAAATTCTATAGCAAATCTTCCTGTTTGTAATCAAAGTGACAACGACTCTGAAGATGAAATCAAAAAAGGGAACGGTTTCGTATCAGCTTTAAACCAACTTACTTTTTCACGTGACTTAAAGATGGCTGTTGACACAACATCTAACAATTCAGGAAGTCCTCCTAAAGAGGCGAACTTTTCCTTTGGTGATACTTTCAACCAGTTGACAAGGAACCAGGATCTAGAGGTTGGAAAGTCACAGACTCCACCTAAAGGTGAATCTCGGGAAAGAGCTCCAACCGAATTCAACACACAGTTCTTAGAAAAGAAGGAACGGATAAAATTTGGGATTATTAATGAAGGTTTTGTTCCATCTGGTAAAAATCCGAGGTTTTTACCCGCTCTAAATGAAGATCAGTCTTCTGGAAATAGGGATTTGGAAGATGACAGAGGTTCTCGTTACACAACAAAAGCACCGATATCTCAAGGCTTACAGATTTGTGTGCATCATCACAAAAAATATGATAGGCATAAAAAGAAAACACATAAAAAGTATTTTAGAAACCGAGCAAAAGTGGGAATTGGCACTGAACACTGTGGCGAAGTGAAGAGCAAAAACAAATTAGAAAATGCAAATTTGATGAATAGTTCTAAATCAAAAGTTCCTACAGAGGTGAAAGAAGTATCTAAAATCAACCCTCTAGTGAGAGAAAACGGAAACGCATTGACGAAAATGAACGAAACGGACAGTGATGATAGCTGGAATAAAACAGTCGAAGCTAAACGCTCGTGTTCTCATCACAAACTTCGACACAAGAAAAGAAGAGCCAAATCCGCTTTGAATGCCTTGCGAAGTAGAGAACAATGTCAACAGTTTCATGGAACTTCTTGGAATTCAGAAAGGAACAGTCAACCGGCACAAGATCATAATGAACAACAGCTAATAGAGAGCTTCAAAAGTCCAAACTTACGTGATACATTACCTTATCATTAGCACTTTTAATCAGTTAAAAATCCAGCAGAAAATGTTGATTCTTATAGTATAGTATTTCTTCTATTTTAGAAATATTTCTATGACCTCAGATTTTCCTTAGAAATTTACAATAAATTATATACATGAAAAATATGTAACTCATAAATGAAAATGGAAACACAAATATGTGATTATGGTCTAATGAATTCTCAGCATCTTTAAATTCACATTTAACTTAGCAGACTTACGAAACACATAACAAGTACATGTGTGTGTGTGTGTGTGCTCCTTTAAGAATTGTTTGTTTGTTTGTTTTTTGAATTTCGCGCAAAGCTACACGAGGGCTATCTGCGCTAGCCGTCCCTAATTTAGCAGTGTAAGACTAGAGGGAAGGCAGCTAGTCATCACCACCCACCGCCAACTCTTGGGCTACTCTTTTACCAACGAATAGTGGGATTGACTGTCACATTATAATGCCCCCTCGGCTGAAAGGGCGAGCATGTTCGGTGTGACGGGGATTCGAACCCGCGACCCTCAGATTGCGAGTCGAGCGCCTTACCCACCTGGCCATGCCGGGCCCCTTTAAGAATTAACCTTGGTTGTTGTTTGTTTTGTTTTTTTGGACGATGTATCAAGCTGCTAGCGCAGATCTTCATTACGTCAAATTAGTGATACTTGGTAGGTATTTAGGAGTTGAAAACCCGGGACGCTCCAAGATTAGGCAATTCCTCGTGACTCTGACACTCGGTGGTCGGTCTGCAGACTTACGACGCTAAAAATCGGTTTTCAATTCCTGTGGTGGACAGAGCACAGGTAGCCCATTGTATAGCTTTGTGCTTATCGACAAACAAATCCTTCACTCTGTTAGTGATATAGATATGCATAGCGAAAAAAAAAAGACTTATATGTGGTTTGGTTTACGATTATCAGGGAAATGACAGCTATTGAACCACAAATGGTGCAAAGAAGGCAAACCCAAGTTGAAGAAGGCAAACCACTAAGAACACCAACCAAATTATACAAAATAATAAGGTAGAATGGTGGGACTAATAAATCCCGTGCCTCGGAATTTGAGGTGGGGGGGATGCCCCGAGAAAAATTTGGCTCCTAAAAATCTATCTGCCCAGTGCCCAAGATCTGACCTGGAACTTAAAACCTCCTGTTCTATACTATCCACCATCAAGAAGTACCAACCCCTTTAATAATCCAAAATTCACGCTGTCCACAAGATCACGTCCAGAAAAATCGGAAGGACTGCCCAGTTTATGAAGGTAATATTCACTTCTCGTCAGACAGCTGAAACATTCTTCTACACGGTTATTTCTTGGAGTACTTTCATTTCAGAGTCGAGAAACCATTTCCAAAGAATATTTCCAACTTACCAGAACAACCCCCACTATTCCACGACTTGCAAGCAGACCCCTCCCGAAATTACTTTCCAGACCTAAGCCGTAAACTAACTAAAATCCGCGTATGGACTCAAACCCCTGTCAAAGAAGAAATGCTGTGTTTGTATCCACAAGGAAACCTATAACACCTGACAGTTGTACTCAGATGATATCCATCAGAATAAAGAACAAGTAGTCGTTCCAAAAGAACCCGAATCCTCAGACTTCGAGTCCAAGGAAGAAGATATGATGTCACAGACCATCTTTGCAAGTAACTTGAAACACTTCCAAACATTACTCACCTTAAGGGCATCATGGAAAATGTTCTCACCTGTAGAACAGTCCGTAGCCATCTACTAGCCTTCAAACAATTGACAAATTTCTTGACCAATTACCTCACTCGTTCCCACTTAGCCAATGCAGTTAATCACTAATAAATATCATTTTTGTTTTGCTTTTATTCTAATGTACGTTTCTGTCCCAGTTTAGATATCAATTTGGACACTGACTGTTGAATCGCCAAAAATTCTACTCTGCCAAAGTGGGTTTTTCTTGTGGTACTCCAGTTTTCCGTTCACATCAAATTTTTCGGTATATGATCTTTTGATCTCCTCTCCATTTTGTTAGATCCTGTGATATATTTACGTCGGAGCCTGTGATCCATATTTTTTCAGAAGAGTGGAATTTACTTAAAGAGATGAAAATCCCCAAGATAAGGTCCAATGGAAGATCATCTAAATAGTTCACATACCCATGTTTCCTCTGGAATTCTGGACCTCCAACCCGATACAACTTATTTAGTAATTTTCCTGCGGAATAAATCTTTTCATTACTATTCAGAAAATCAAACAAATCTGGAAACAATACATATCATCAAAAATCCACGCTGTCATTAGGCTCCTGTCCACAAAAATGGGAATAATTAGTAGTTAATTCTTGTTAGACAGCTGATCAGTACTTCTATGTGGTTATTTCCAATTTCAGAGCCGAGAAACCATTCCAGAAAAAGGCTTCTAAACTTACTAGAATGACAATCTTTATTCCACAACAAGCAAGCATACCTCCGCCAAGATTACTCCCCAAATCCTAGTTACAAACTAAACTAATCCTCCTCACATACCAAGCGACCCAAATCCGAAATGAAAAAGAAAATTTTGTCTTAATATCCTCTGCGAAACCCTCAACATTCAACGAACCCAGATGTAAAAATATTTGATCAATTTTCTGACAGGAATTAACTGTTGTCTGAGTCATCCTTCCGGTTTTTCTGGACGTGATCCTTTGAACGTCATGAATTTTGGATGGTATATCTTTTTCTAGTACTTATTTAATTTCCTGAGTAGTAATGGAAAGATCCACTTTCCTCGGGAAAATTATTAAGAGTAAAGAACAAGCAGACTCGAGTAGATCCTGAATATTCAGATTCTAAGTCCGACAAAGAGGAATACGACAGCACAGATCGCCTATACAAATGTTGAGATACATCTCCAAATGATATTCACTAAAAGTTAGATGATTTCCAGAAGGATGTCACCAAAAATTATCTCACTAGCAGAACAGTCAGGCACCCCCAGTGACTCAGCGGTATGTCTGCGGACTTACAACGCTAAAATCCGGGTTTCGATACCCGTGTTGGGCAGAGTACAGATAGCCCATTGTGTAGCTTTGTGCTTAATTACAAACAAACAGGCAGGCGCTACTTACTGACGAATTACTCAGCTCATTATCCCGCCTCCAAATGCATGTTACCATTGAGTTATTTCATTCGTGTAAGTTTCTTCGAACAAGATTTTCTCAATCCCATATTAGGTATCAGTTCGGACTCTGGTCAAGTAAAACTTTCGGCACCGACTAGAGATAGTGGGTTTTTCTGAATCCTTCCGTTTTCCAACCACAATTTTTTTACATATAAGATATTTAATACTTTCCCTGTCTTAGTTGCTTCCAATGATCCACCTATGTTTGTTCTTTTGGATCCTATGATTTCCGTTTGTTTGTTCTTTTGGATCTTATGATTTCCGTTTGTTTGTTTGTTCTTTTGCATCCTATGATTTCCGTTTGTTTGTTTGTTCTTTTGCATCCTATGATTTCCGTTTGTTTGTTCTTTTGGATCTTATGATTTCCGTTTGTTTGTTCTTTTGGATCTTATGATTTCCGTTTGTTTGTTTGTTTGCGAAGTCCGAAGTTTTCTCGGACCAAAAGAAGAATCAACACCATAAGTCAGAAGTGCAACCAAACATCTTCTCCAGCTGTTTAGGCTTTTTCTGTCTTATTTACAGCAATTTATCTGATCTCTGGTGGATTCCGTTGTATAAAATAAACTCACATAAACTATACTCGAGTAAGTTGCCTGGACTGCGTTTTATATAATGTGCTAAAATTAACTATAATCGAATCAATTATCTTGGTTCTGTTCTGCAAAACATTAAGACAGATGTTTGGGCTTCTCTCTGTTTAATATACTGACTTGAACTATAATCAAGACAGGTCTTTGGGTTCTGTTCTGTAAAATATACTGACATGAACTATAATCAAGACAGATCTTTGGGTTCTGTTCTGTAAAATATACTGACATGAACTATAATCAAGA